CGGTGTCCTGCATGTCAATAGGTGATTTGATAAGACAGGCTCAGACCTGGGGCTCCAGACACGTGGGTTCTGCCTGTGTTCACAGCGGGTTTCACATGCTCCAGGAAAATCAGCACATTCCTCTGCTGCTGTTTCTGCTTCTGGAACACAAGGGTGTGTCCACATTAGACCACTTCATGGGGTTCCTTTTTCCTGTAAGAATCTGCAATTCTAAAATGCTGAAAGCTGATTTACAAAGAAATACATGCACAGTATACTGGTTTCTTTAACACGGAATTTTATCATCAGATTACTGAATGAGAAAATGTATTATGAAAACATCCAGAATAGGGTCTGGCACGTCGGGGAATTACTAACCACAGAAGCAGTCAATCATTTCACCAGTGAGATGGGAGACCAGATGTACTCTTGCCTCCTAGATTAAAACCCTAACAGAATGACACAAATCCAGGAAATATGCTAAAATGAAGGGCAATAAATTCATACCAGATGAATGCGGGCACCAAAAGCAAATATGAGAGCACTGTTTTTAATCTTTCAGCAATGACTGTCATGGTTTAAAGTAAGAAAAGATATTTATGCAACCTGATCAAATAAAGATCCAACCTTGGTAGTTTAAAATTTTATTATTGAACTCTCCATAGACATAGCAGCTTTTTTTGCAGCCTTGTATTGCAGAATGAGCAGAGCAGGGGCCTTCAGCCTCCAGCCCTGTCTCCTTCCCACTGTGTGGCTGTCGTCTTTGGGCACCCAGCTGCGTGTGCTGAAGGGAGCTGTGTGGTGTGCGGGTGGGGAAACGGCCATGGCGGCTGCAGCCCGAGGTCTGACTCTCAGCTGTGTCACGCGTGTCGGGCTCTGGGAAGGTTTCTGAAACGCCTGCGCTTCAGGTGCTGCTCCTGTAGGTGGGCACCATCACACAGATGTGGCTGAGTTTTCAATCAGCACTTACACAAACAGCCTAGTGTTCTAGATGGCATGCAGCACACAGCCACAGGCTGATTCTTGTGTACTTTCAGATACTAGACCCTCCTCTCTGCTCGCAGGTATGTAAGGACTCAGTCTGAGATCTACCTCTCCTCCTCTTTACCCACCTCCGGTCTACTGCACATTTAATTCATCTTTTTCTGTGCACAGGGAGGATACTTAAGATCTAATCTCTTAGCACATTTCAAGTGTACAAAATATAATTGTTAACTATCACTGCCGTACTGTCCATTAAGTTTCCAGAACTTATTCACCTTATACCTCATGGTTTGTACCTCTGACCAGCATTACCTCACTACCTCCTTCACCTGGCCCCGGTAGCCACCCTCCACTCTGTTTCTATGAGTTTGATTTTTTGTAGATTCCACATGCAAGAGAGACCATGCAGTGTGTCTTTCTGTGTCTGGCTTATTGTCCCAACACGATGTCCTGCAGGTTCAGCCTTGTTGCAAAGACAGGGTTTTCTTCTTTTTTAAAGAGCTGAATAATATCCCACTGTGTGTGTATATCTATCATCTATCTATCTGTATATCCCACATTTTCTGCATCCATTTATTTATCAATGGAAAATGAGGTTGTTTCCATATCTTGGTGATTGTGAATAATGCTGCAATGAACACGGGAATGCAGATATCTCTTCCAGATATTAATTTTATTTCCTTTGGATATATACCAGGAAGTGGGATTGCTGGAGCATATAGTGGGTCTATTTTTAATTTTTCGAGGCACCTTTATAGTGTTTTCCGTCATGGCCGTACCATTTATACTCCCACCAGCAGTGTATAAGAGGTGATGGATATGCTAATTAGCTTGATTGTGGTAATCATTTCACAATGTATACATTTTTCAAAACATCATATTTTATACTTCAAATATATACGATGTTTATTTGCCAATTATACCTCAATTAAGCTGAAAACAGAACAAAACAAAGCAAGAGCATAATAATTTAGAAAAAGGAAATTTAATTCATTGGATGGATGTGAGATGGGAGCGGGGTGTGAGTGGGGCTGGGCAAGGCAGTACAAGGAAGCGGTGAAACATGCCTGCAGTTATAGGGTCTGGGGAAATGATAGCAATCCAGTTTTCCACATGAGAACAGAATAGGATAATATGAAGATACTATGAGAGTTTTGGACTTCATTTTAATGGGAAGCTGTGTCTAGGTAAAGAATATGGACTCTATATTTTTCTTTTTCTTTCTGGAAGTTATTTAGGGCTTCTGGGGGGGATTGATGAGCTTGAGGGGAAGCAAGCCGAGAGGGGATACAAGTTAGGAGAATCCAGGCATGGGTGCAGGTGTTCGTGAGTGAGACCTGGCACTGTGGGGAGGGAGATGAGGTGAAGTTTCTTGGATGTGTGGGTGAAGAAGAGCAGGGAGATAGGAGGACTTGGTTTTTGAGTCTGAGTGGCTGGGAGGATGATGGGGCATCCACGGTGGGAAAGCTGAAGGAGAACATCTGTAGGCTGATGATGGGATCTTTTTCTTGGATTTAACACAAATCATGGGGGGGAGATATGTAGGCTATATCTGTGATAGTTAAAGGACGCCTGAGAAGACCCCAGGGGAATTTGAGGATGTGGGGAGAAGAGAGCTGCAGGGAGACTTCTGGACATGCCTGCGTTGCTACACACTGCTGCGTGGGGGGAATTCAGCTGCGGAGCGTGTTCCATTTTGCCCCCAACTTGGTGTGCAGCAGCTCAATTCTGGCACTGGCTGTCAAAGGGCACGGTCCCCAACAAGATTGTCTATATTTCGGACACCAGCTATGTCTCCATTAGGGTTGGCAATTTGCTAGAATGACTTGTAGAATTCAGGAAAGCACTATGTTTACAATTAACATTTTATTATAAAGGATGCAAATCAATAGGACCAGCCACATGAAAAGACACAGAAAGTGACATTGAGGAATATTGTAGAGCTTCTATCCCCTCTTCTTGTGGAATCCGGGCACATCAGCCTCCCAGCATATCTGTGTGTTCATTGACTAAAAGGTCCACTGAGCCTCAGTTTCTTGAGTTTTTATTGGGGTTTGATTAATAAGCATGACTGTGTGAATCATTTACCACATGATCAAACTCAATCTCCAGCCCTCTCTCCCCCACCAGAGGTTGGCCTGACCCAAAGGTCCAGCCCTGTAAGCATATGCTTTATTATAGTTTTAGAAGCTGGCTGCTTGGACCAACTATTCCTTCTCAAATATTATAGACCAAGTCATTTCCTTGGTCTATAATAGACAATTCTCTATCTATCTAAAGACATTTTCATACTCCCTGTCACCCCAGGGGGGATGTGTGTGTATTCAGATTAAACGATTCCAATATTCTCTTGTGTTCCTCAAATGATATAATATCTAGATTGTTCTAATTTATATGTAGAGCCTGGAAGAACTTATTGCTCGTAGTTGCACCACAACATTGCAACTATACTCCCACCATCTACAGCACCCAGTGGGGCACTTGCCACACTTTGGCAGGATCTCGTACTTGCGCAGTCTAATTTCAGTTAGCTTTTGCACACCCACCTGATAGAGTTGGTTAATATTGAGCTGCTCCTCCAGTGAAACACATTGCCTGCAAGTCAAAACCTAGGAAGGATGGGGTCTGGCAGACACTAGGAAGACTGGGGCTGGATGTTGAGCTCAGCAAGAGAAAGAAAGGTAGGTGAAAGACTGATAGGTGCTGTTGGTCCAGACAGGCAGGGGGTCAAGACCACACAATTCAGTTCATGATGAATGCGTAAGTCCAGGACCTAGGAAATGACACAGCAGGCAACCGGCCTACATGGTGAGAGCCTAGACCAGAATATCAGGACAATATTGATCTATAGTTAAAGAAATTGTTCTAGAAAACTATATAGAGGACTTTCTGAACAAATATCTCCCACTGTTCTATATGCTACGAGCCAGAACTTACCTCAGGGCATGGCTGAGGCTGACACAGCTGGAGAGGAGAAGAGGTGGCAAAGGGACAGAAGTCCCGATGCCAGGTGACAACACTGTTGGGATTTTGAAATACTGTCATCTTTTTCAGTTCTGTGCCTTTTAACTTATTTATGCTTAGTTATACCCCGTGGCGTTTGACTAAGTCTTTAATGTGCTCTCATAGGGGAATGCAAAATACAGGTGACAGGATAAATTACAAGAGACCCAAAAGAAGAAGAACAACCTAGGAGTGGAAACGTGAAACGGACAGGACATTGTGCCTTCCGTGGTGGCTCCACACACAAGCCACATGCTGGGCTCCACACATTTCAAACAACCAAATGAAAAGAGGAAAACTGATCACTCTCACAGTCCATAATGTCTTTAGGATGAAACACAAACCAGTTTCATTTATAGAGTTCTTCTTGATGAAACATTGACTAGAACTTTCTGGGGAAGGGATGTCACACTGTGTGATGTGATGAACAGCCTTCATAATAAAACCCTCTTAATTGATAATTTGGTGGCACTTTCTCCATATTGGCTGCTGACATTACATTAATGCACAAGCCAAGAAAAAAAAACAAAGCAAAACAAAACAAATAACTCCAAAACCAAAATTGGTTCAATGAAATGGTCCTGTTTTCTATGTGTCCAAACCTGGCTTGATCTACAGGTGAATTCTTAAATATTGACATGGTTTCTATCAAATGATCTCCTTTCCATATTCTAATACTTAGCCTGAATCTGTTTCCTCACTGCAAACATATGGATAATATATTACTCAGACCACTGGGATACATTTCAGGAGTAGACAATAAAATGTGATAACCCATAAGCACAGTGCTTGTCATATAAGGCATGGACAATACATGCTGGTTGTTTGACAACAGTAGCAATGACAAAAATCCCAGCACCCACTTGCTGAATTGCTGATGAAATTTACCATTTTTTGCTGCTCATGGACCAGGACTGGGCAGAGCAAACAGGAGGTATCTTTTGGACACAGGGGGTCTGTGTGGCATGGAGCTGGGCTGTGATTCATCATGCAGGAGCAGGCTTGCGGCTCACCTTTCAACTTGTTGTTCACAGGAATAACACTCTATAGCCATCCGTACGGAGGGGCCTTGCTGAACGAGGACAAGATGTGAGTTGATGGGGTGCTGAGGGCGGGGGGTGGTGACCCCAACTATGGAAGAAAATCTTTGAGTTATCTCAGGGGTGATTTTGATCTCTCTTTGACATTTGCCCCAAGAGACGTTGGCATATATAGTTAGTGGCACAGGGCTTGGGCATTTCTTTACAAAGTGTGAGAAAAATGAGTATTAAAAGAGGAAGTGTGTTGACCGAGCTTAAAAAAGATAAGCTGTACTTCTAAGCAAAAATTGTCCTAAGGGAAGGATTTTCCAGAATCCTATGGAACCGCACATCTTTCAGATCTCTTTTTTGGGTTAAAATCATAAACATAGCATACATATAGGTAAACATAGTAATGCCTCCTTGAACATTTCTCATGCAACCTTTTTCTTATTGTCCAGAGGGAGTCACGGTAGTGATAAAGCCAGTGCTCTCCCGCAGGGAGTTACGTGCTGGTTCTCGTTGTCTTAATAAGGGGAGCATGCTTCTGCTTGTCTTCTGTTTTTTCACTCATCTCCCTTCTCTATTATATGGTTGGCAAACTTTTAATTAAAAGTTGATAATAAAAGTAAGCATTATATATGTGCTTTTTATGACCTACCGAAATGAGCTGGAGAATGCAAATCTGCTTAATGGGCATTCTCCCCTCAAGTAGCTAAGCCAGCGGGAGGCGTGTTGCAGCTTGTCCTCACATTCACGTACTGATTTAGGACCTCTGGCTTGAATGGTCTCTGATACCTGCCCAGGATGCCTGGAGTAGGCAAGTCGACGTCTGTTACAAAACGAGTTCTGGTTGAACGAAGTCACGGCTCGGTGGGTGGTTTGTGGTGAGAGGTTTCATCATGTCAACTTCTGTAAGACCACGTGTGGCCTGACTGTTCCTAAAGAGTGAGCAGAGAGGAGGCAGCAATTAACTTGAGGGAAGGATATTAGAGGTGGTGCTCCAAATTAAAAAATAACCAGAAGGCGTACAGTATATGTTATTACAAAAACACCCTATTGCAAAAGCTTTTTGGTATTTCAGGTGACTAAATTTAGAAATGGTCCAGTGAAGTGAGGATCTGAAGGCCACTCCCTCGCAGGTGTTCCTGTTGAGCAAAGCAGTCCCAGCGTGGGTAAAGGTCACAGCTGACCGTGGTTGCCACTTTGGGGATGTCCCTCATCTTACCTTGGAGGCGGCTTCACGGTCAAGAGCAGACTTTGACAACAGCAAACTCTTAAATGCTCCTCAACTTGCGCAGCTTAGTTATGTCTTCTATAAACTGAGAACAATAGCCCTGTCTCAAAGGTGATTGAGGGAATTTAATGAGGAGAGCCACACCCTCAGCCAGCACGCCTGGTTGATCATGTGTATTTAATTAGTGGTTTTTACTGCTGTCATCATCACTGATTGTTAATGACAGAAAGAAGACTCGTGTTCTCTGTGTAACCCCTGACGGTCTGTTCTGTTCTGCCTACAGCCTGGAGAGCATCCGCCAGTGTGGTGTCGCCCTCTGCATTGTGCTGGGATTCTCCATCCTGTCTGCAGCGATCGGTAGCTCCGTGGTGAGGGACAGGGTGACCGGAGCCAAAAGGCTGCAGCACATAAGTGGCCTTGGCCACAGGACGTACTGGTTCACTCACTTCCTCTATGACATGGTAGGATTCGGGAAGGAGGCTCCATGTGCCTCCTTGCTAGTGATCAGTTGACTGTGTGTGTGAAGTGGGGTGGGGAGGACAGGCTGCTTGGACTGTCTGTAAAAGAAGGGATTTTCTTACTGGTAAGAGCATTTCAGGTTTAAGTCTAAGACTGACGGGCCTCAGGCTGGAGATCTGGGAAATTAGGGACCTGCAGGGAAAGAAATGCAAAGTTTCTTACTGGGGAGATGAGAAAGCAATCGCCTTTAATATGCTCTTTTCAAGGAAGTAGAAGGTGAGGTGACAAAAATCATTAGAAACAGTCTGTCATCTTCATCCGTAAAAGTCCCTCTAGTCCAACCTGTGCCTTGGTCCCTAATGTGTATAGCAGGTATCACTGGCATTTCCATGTACATTCAGCTCCCCAGTAGACACCCTCCAGGTCACTGTGTCCAGTCCTTAGGAGGACAATGCCAGATGCATTGACCAGTTGTGCCCTGTTGTTCAGGACATTTATCTTGAGTCAAAAAATGCATCTTATATGATAGATTGCCCTTCAGTGGTCAACGTCTACTTTCATTGTTCTGTAGCAGAGTTGTCCTTGTGGAGGAAAGTGGAATCTTTGCCATCGTAAATATGATTTCTCCTGTGATATAGGAAATCTTGCTTAAGTCAGTGGAAGGCCAGAGGGCCCAACATTTACTGAGCATCCACTGCACACCAGGTGCTATGCTCACTGTGTCATATTTTGCACAGAATCTGGCATATTAACACGTTGCTCTCATGCAATGTTTGTTCCTTTGAGCTGGCTTAGAATTTAGCTAATTTACTTCCATTTGATCATGTAACCTGTATTTTGTTTTTGAAAGTTCAATTCGTATGGGTCACACCTAAGTGACCTCAACATTTCAGGAGTTCATTTAGTTTACTCAGGGTTTTCCCTCAGCCTGCCCAGTGATTGTAATCACCTGGGACATTGACTAACAGTAAGGTCCCCTGGAGCCTGTCCTTCAAGATTCTTTTCAGTAGGCCTGGGCAGGACATGTTTTAGTAAGTACCCAAGGTGATTTGTGAATCTCAGCCAAGATTAAAAAATGCTGGTCCTCAAAACTCTTCATCTTTACCAAGGGACACTTTAGGGTAGGAGAGAGGAAGTGACTTAAGATCTTATGTCTAGTTGGTGCAGAGGTGGCATTTCAGCACCCGCCTCTGCCTCCTACATCAGTTTTGTTCCTGGTGCTGCAGACCGCGAGTGGTCACTTCACTCTCTCCTGCCTGCTATTTGGCTTTGTCTAATGGCCACAAATTTCCTGTAGAAAATGGAATAAGGATTCATCAAAAGAGAATAAGAACATACAAGCGAAGTGGGTCCACATTTCCAAGACACCATAGAGCACCAGAGCTCCCAAAACTACAGGGTCTCCCCTCTCTCCTGTATCCTTAGTTTACTATCTCCTTATCCCTCCCCCTAAATGTGTCTCTTCCTTATTCTGTGATGTTTGGCCTTGGGGTTTAAGATCAGGAAGGGTTATTGTCTTCTTGGTTGACTGTTTTTTCACTTTCCTGCAATCATTCCCTGCTTATTCAATCATTCATTTAAGGAATATTTTTGAGGATCTGCTATGGGTCAAGGTGTGTCCAAGATTGTTATAGACTGAATGTTTGTGTTCCTCCCCCCAAAATTCATATGTTGAAACCTAATCCCCCATGTGAAGGGAGTTGGAGGTGGGGCTTTGGGAGATAATTAGGTCATGAGGGTGGAGCCCTAATGAGTGGGATTAGTGCCCTTTTAAAAGAGGCCCCAGAGAGCTCTCTGTGAAGACATAGTGGGAAGGCACAGTCTCTAAACCAGATAGTCAGTCCTCACCAGGCACGGAATTTGTCACCACCTTGATCTTGGACTTCCCAGCCTCCAGAACTGTGAGAAATCAAGTTCTGTTGTTTGTCAGCTACCCGGTCCATGTTATTCTATTATAGCCGCTGAAGTGGACAGAGATGTTGGCATAAAGCCATGAATAACACAGAGAAGCTCTTTCCCTTCATAGATCTTGTGTTCTTATGAGAGGAAGCAAGAAACATGTGAGTAAACAAATAAATAAACACACAAGATACAGTTGGCTCATGACTGGATCCACTGAGAGAATGAAACACAACCATGGGATGGAGGTGACTTACATGGGGTGGTCAAAGATGGAAGTGAAAGTTAAGTTGAGATCTGAGAAGTGAGAAGGAGCCATCCAAATGGCTGACACTGAGAAAGAGCTCTGAGCCAGAGCTCCAAGAGAAAAGGGAGCTGGGTGTGTGAGCCCCCCCAGGGAAGGCTGTGGTTGTTCCTGGCCTGTGGGAACACTCCAAGGTAAGGCTAGGTTGAGGGTCAAGGCAAGGGGCCTGTCCTCATTCTCCGTGTTGGGGGGCGGCCATGTTTCATGGAAGGTGTTTGGATTCCTTGACTCTTCTGGAAGGAGATGGGTAGGGGTCTCTGTATTGGTCAGCTCAAGTGGCTGTAACAAAAGGCCACAGACTGGGCAGCTTAACCACAGAAATTTATTCTGTCACAATCCTGGGGCTGGAAGTCGAGATCAAAGTACAGTCAGGGTTGGTTTCCTCTGAGGCTCCTCTCCTTGGCTTGTAGACAACCGTTTTCCCTTGAGTCCTCACATGGTCATCGTCCGTGTGTCTGTGTCCTAATCTCCTCTTTAATAAGGACACCACTCAAGTTGCATGAGGGCTTACCCCAATGACCTCCTTTTATCTTAATGTTTGTTTTCAAGGCCCTTTCTCCAAATACAACCACATTCAGACACACTGGGGGTTCGATTTAAACATTTTGGGGCGACACAGCTGAGACCATAACAGTGACCATCCAGGACTAATTCCACAGCTACAAAACTCCCAATGTGCAAAATAGGATATGTATTTCACTGGAGGTTGAAAGGAAACTTCGGGGTAAGTAGATGATAATAAATACGATCATCTGATGTAACAGCTCTCCCGTATTTCCTTTTATTTCCTCAGCTCTTTTACTTGGTTTCCGTCTGCCTGTGTGTCGCCGTTATTGCCGCCTTCCAGTTAACAGCTTTTACTTTCCGTGAGAACTTGGCAGCCACAGCCCTCCTGCTGGGACTTTTCGGGTATGTGATGAGAAATGCTGCTGCAGAATTATGGTTTGTTTTCTGAAAGAGAAAACCCTCAGGATGGCTTTAACCTGCTGTCGGCTTCATGATTTCCTCTCTTTTGAAGCAATTATGTTGCTTCTACAAGGGGCGCTGAGCAAACAAGCTCGAGCAGGGTGATGAATGCCCCGTGGGAGAAGGAAGGGCTGACACGGTCGTGATGAAGATGGCATTGCCCTGTCTCAGACAGGTCCTCAAGCTGTCTGACAAACGTGTGTGGTTGGAGACGGATCCTCTGTTGTTCTCATGCTGACTTTAATCAGCTGCTCAAATCCATAATCCAGTTAGCTCAGAGACTGCGCTTGTGGAGATTCTCTCAGGAAGCTCTGTCTGGCACATGGCACATTCTCCCCTCTCCTATGATACTAGTAGTTTGGAAATATTTTGTCTAACTTCTAGGACTTTTTTTCTCAAAGGAAAAATTGCAAAAACAGAAAAATCATTTTACAAATTTCTCATTTATGCACACGAATCGAGATCATTGCTACAGGTCTCAAGTTATACCTATCTGGTATCAGGAATATATGTGTCTTCTTACATCATGCATACATGTTTATATATAGACTAAATATATGAGACATACTTGCTAATAGCAGGGAAAATAATTGACGTGCTAATTTATTATAATCCAAGGCTTTTATTTATTTATTTATTTATTTATTTATTTATTTTTTGAGACAGTGTCTCACTCTGTTGCCCAGGTTAGAGTGCAGTGGAAAATCATAGCTCACTGCAACCTCAAACAACTGGGCTCAAGAAATCCTTCCCACCTCAGCCTCCTGAGTAGCTGGGACTATAGGTGCAGGCCACCTTTCCCAACTAATTTTTTTTTTTAAGTTTTTGTAGAGACAGGTTCTCGTGATGTTGCCTGGGATGGTCTTGAACTCCTAGCCTCAAGTGATCTTCCTGCTTCAGCCTCCCAAAGTGCTGGGATTACAGGCATGAGCCCCCATGCCCTGCTTCAAGGCATTTTTTTTTTTAAAACAAAACATCCAGCTTTTATTTAAGCGAAAGATTACAAATAAAATGATTTTTACACAGTTTGTAGTTATATCAATGACCAGGAATTATTCAAAACATCTAATTCAGAGCAAAGTTTGACTTAAACAAATATACATCATTACTAGATGAATGCATAGATGGGTGGGTGGATGAATGGATGGAGGGATGGGGGAGAGAGAGAGAGAGGAAGAGAGAAAGAGACAAGACAGAAAGACGATCTTTTGGGAAGTATTGATATTACCACTCACCAATTCTGTGGCCTTGGAAATATTTATTATTCTCTCTAAAGCTCATTTTCTTCCCTGTAAAACTCCATTTCTGTTGCTATAACGATTAAATTGGGTAGTTTATATAAATACTGTGGACAATGACTGGCACAGAGTTCCCATTAGATTAATTTTAACTATTATTGTTATCCTTAGAATTATTTTACTCTTTAGAGGATATCATATCCTAAGCTATAATACATGCTTATGGTAGACACATTTGTTATAGTCAACTGGAAATTTATGAGCCTGTGTATAAAGATCTCTATATATGTTTACCTAGCTCTAAGAACATACTCTGATTTCAGTTTATTGATCCAATTGAATGGATAGTGTCGTCATATCACCTTATAGTTTGAGTAAAATAGACTTTGCTATAAAATTATTTTTGAATTTTAGGAGAATAGATTTCCAAAATTGAGATAAGGCTTACGATGAAATGGTTAGAAGCTCCTAAGAACCATGTTTTTAGAAATTTTTATCAACATTGTTTTGATTGTGAACCCCATTAAGAATCTGACATCAGCTAAGAATTTTCTCCACATACACAACTACAACACTTTTTCAAAGAATTTCTGGGGATTCACAGATCTGTTGAAGCACAATCACAGGCCAATGGGGGTTACACACTTCTGGTTAAGAATTCTTACGTTAGAGGGATCAAGGAGGTGTGAAGTGGTAACTCAGATGGTGTTTGTGATCAGGGCCAATTCTAGTGAAGAAGAAGAACCTGAGGGAGATAGAAGAGGGTCACAGGGGGGATCCTGGGGTATTCCGGATGAAAGCAGATTGAAAGGTAGTTCTTCATTGGCACACAGCTGAGGGGCAATGAGAACCCCAGTCTGGGCAGCTGTGGTCTCCTGCAGGGGCTCTCCGGGCGAGGGTGGCAGAGTGGGCTCACTCTTGTCTCCACAAGGACCTGTAGATACAGGGGGCCCAAGAACAAGTCTCAGGGAGGCAGAATCCCAGAATGAGCTGAAACCTAAGAACATGTTCAGGCATGAAACAGGGCCGCTTAATGGTTTGGAATCTGAAGAAATAAGGGATTGGATAAATGAACAGATTCTCATAAGAGATAACAAAACAAACATGCCCAGTAACAATTTTGTTTTTTTTTCTTTCTCTCTATCAAGGAAAATTTGTTATTTAAACTGTAAAGGGGTTGAGGGGAGAATCGGCATCAAAAAAGGGAAGTAACACCTAAAAATGTCTGAAAGAAAACTGAGTCTAGCTTATGTAAAAAATTGAAAGCTTAAGTACATATTTAGTGTATATTTGGTGCCACAAGATTGTGGAGATGAGATCACAGGATCCTGTTCCGGTGCCTTGGGAAATTCACAAAACATGCGGAAGTAGCCAATTTTCAAGGAAGGAAACCACCCCTTCATAAATCCCAAATATTGTGAACAGTACATCAATCTCCAGCAAATTCTAAAATCACTAACATATTTTATTGTGTTTTAATAAAATAGTGGAGAATATTAAAAGCCACTGTAAGTTTCCCCCCAAAATTATGCTCTATAAGCCAATTTATTTGTTTTTTCTTTAAAAAATTTTTAAAAAAGGGAGACTAGAGCTGCTAATATATTAATTTGAGCCAAATATTTGAAACTAACTAATGAAAATGTAGTAAAAAAAAAAAGTGATAGAATCACAGCCAGTCGAAAACCTTGCTGAAAGACTGTTCATTAATGCAGCAATAGGAACTCTCAGTGGCATCATTTAGAACTATGTCTCTGATTCTTTTTCTTTTCTTAAGTAGTGCTTTGATCTACCTGTCAGATATTTAAATGACATAATCCAGTGGAAACCTTACGTAACAAGTAACCAAGTACAGACTCTGAACAATCTCAAAGGAAGCAGAGACTAATGTTGAGGTGGTAATGAGTCCCTCGAGTACAGATCGGGGTATCTGGGCCTGACAGCGGGACAGGGGGGCTGCTGCACTCTTAGATGGCATTACTGGGTGTGCAGATGCTGATCAAAGCAGGTAATAAGCTTGCTAAGTGCCTTATGCCAGGATGACCACATCATACGCTCTCTGAGGTGCTGCTACCCACACTCCCCTGACCCCCAAATTGCAAAATTTAACAGAGAGAGCTGGTTGAGTACCATGCTGTATAAGGAACAAAGAAAGACTTTTGTAGAAGGTCTTTTGTAGAAGAGGTTCAAGCAGACTAACATGGTTATCTTCTGCTGTTTAAAGGGCTGTCACATGGGAAAGAAAAGCTACTTATCACAAGTTGTTCCAGAATATAGAGTTTCAATCAGTAGTTACAAACTGGAGAGATTTTTTTTGTTCACTCTCAGAATGAATTTTATAGCTATTATAGCTGCCCCAAACTTTGGTTCATACACTTCTATTACTGCTTATATTTCAGTTGCAAAAATACGTTCAATGCTGTGATTTCATTTGTTTCTCAAAGCGGCCACGTGATGGAGGGTAGCACTTGATCTTTGTGCCCGCAGCACCAGGAGGGCGGGGTGGTGGGTGTGAGCGTGTACAGGGTTTGAATCTGCTCTGCGGTACTTTATTTCCGACAGAGGTGTTGACACTGTAAAACACCAAGAAGTCATGCCTTACCTCTGTGGTAATTATTTTGATTTAATTAGTTTGATTATTTTAAGCAGCAACTGTTTTAGAGTAATTGTTTTACAGCTCTTGCCTCCGTAGTGTGCTCTGAAATCATTTTCTTCATGCCCAAATTATGAGACTGCTATTGAGTGAAGCTTTGAAACACTGCATGATTTTATATGTCTTGTTACATGTATGATATTTTCTGAACTATGAGAATGTATCTCTTAACCCAGGGAAGTATTCCAATATCATAGATTCTCATATGAAAAGGGAAATATATTAAAATAATAGCTATTTTGAGGGCCTAGTGTCTCTTACACCATTTTGAAGTCTCATAATTTTCAGAACTTGTTAACATATTAAGAAAACCTCAGACATTTAGAAGGCACTGAAATATTTCAGGTTAAATCAATTACTCGCTGCAAGAAACCAGGGACATGTTTACTTCGAGCGTGCAGAGAACACATGGAGGCTCTGGATGCATGAGAGTCTCATGTGAAGGTTGTGCTTTAAAAGTCAGTGACTTCTCTGCTGATATTGGAAATCATCATTCAAAGTGCCAGTCTCCTTTAATGGGGTACAGTGGTATTGTGACAGAAAGGAGATTAAGGAAGTTGGCCATGAGCGAAACCTGGCTCTAGAATTAGGGAGACAGAAAGAAGAAAGTGAGATGTTTTCATTTTAGGGACATTGGGTGATATCTTAAATCCCCATATTGTCTAATACAGGTGGGGACAGCTTCTAGGGTTCAATACTTGGTAATGTCTCTTACTGCCCAGCTTTGGGTCCACACGGAAAGGAATCCCATGTTCATCTTGCTCTTCTTATCAGCTGTGGAACCTCCATCAAGGTGTGGCAAGTCTGTTAATCCCAGTTGCTCTACCTGTAAGGTGAGGATCACAGTGGCCATAGTGGGTTGTTGGAGCATGTGAGGGGGGTCAGGCCATGTGGGGGACACAGCACAGTGCCCAATATGCAGTGGACACTGCAAAGGAAACTTTCAGCTTTGATTTTTATGCCTTACTTTTTAGATAGAGCTCTGCAGCTTTTCATATTCTTGATATTTTTAAATTCTCAGTATAACGAATAGGGATTACTCCTGCTTTACTGATGGTAATACTCCTGCTTTACTTTTCTTGCCCTGTGTGGGGAGGGTACCCCTCCCAGAGGAATGTTTATGGCTTGCTGTGTGAAGGAAGAGACAGGTTAGCTAGGCCTTTCTGAAACCGCAATCTCTCCAGTGTTTTCAACTCAGAGCAATCAAGGTACCAGTTTGGCATATTTGGGGATGGCAAGTCCTTCACTCCTTCACCTGAAACTGCAGATAAAACTGAACCTTGTGTACACTATGTTTCTTCTTGTACATGTATAACTATGATAAAGTTTAATTTATAAATTGGGCACAGTGAGAGATTAACAACAATAAAACAGAGCAATTATAACAATATGCCAGCATCAACACTGTTGTGCTTTGGGGCCATCAAGTAAAATAAGGGTGATGAACACAAGCACTGCAATGCCAGACCATCAGTCTGATAACCGAGAGGGTGCCTAAGTGACCAGCAGGCACCGAGCGTAGACAGCACAGATGCAGTGCACAAAGGAAGGATTCATGTCCTGGCAGGATGGAGCAGGACACGCCACTCCAAAGGGTGCACTATTTAAAACTTAGGAATTGTTTATTTCTGGAATTTTCCATTTAATATTTTGAGACTTCCGTTGACCACAGGTAACTGAACCGTCAGAAAGCAAAACTGCAGGTGAGGGGACCAGTGTACTTGTATAATGACTGAATTATAGATGCAGTTTTATTGCCTGCCAATTTTTCCTCACTCGGTGAACAGAAACCACTTGACATAATACATCCCTCTGGAGCCCCAGACAAAGCCCCCGTCCTGGGGCCCCCGCAGGCTCTGCCATGGTGAAAGCACCCTGGATGGGGCGTAACACACGGGGCCTGCGTGGGCCTGGGCTCCCACTGTCTCTTTCCCGAGAGGGGCACTTCTTTGCTCTGAGACTGGGAATTGGGGGCTGCAATGGACCCGAATAAATATACTTTCCAGAGTAACTCTTATCTTCCACTAGTTTTACATCTCCCCATATATCTCCTAGTGACTCCCCTAGAATTTTAGTGCTCCTAGCCAGATCCCTTTAATCATGTTATTTCTTTTCAAATTTATCATTCTTTCTCTAAAAAGTTTAAAAGTATCTTGCTTTGATACTTCTTAAGACTTTGTCCTCTTAAGAGGATCCCCACGTACATGTAAAACTAATAAAGTTTGTGTGTTTTTCTTTTGTTAAGCTGCCTGGTGTTAATTTGGTTTCTAGATCCAGCTGAGGAGCCCACTAAGAGCTAAAGAGGCATTGGAGGGGATCTCTGGTTCCCCTGTGCAGGCATCCTCTTGGGGTCTTGGAACGTATCCCCATGGATAAGAAGGGACTCCTATAAATGTTACAGTAAACTAAATGTGACTTTTCACTTCACTTTTCAGATATGCAACTCTTCCGTGGATGTATCTGATGTCCAGAATCTTCTCCAGCTCAGACGTGGCTTTCATCTCCTATGTCTCATTAAACTTCATCTTTGGCCTCTGCACCATGCTCATGACCACCATGCCCCGGCTACTGGCCATCATCTCCAAAGCTAAGGTCAGTAGCTTTGCAGCGTCACCTGTACAATGCACTAGAAAGAAGACAATGTTGACTCATGTCTATTTTGTTGCTTTTCCAATTGGAATTCCATAGAAATGCACAAGTATTTGCTGTCTTTTTTTTTTTTGAGACAGAGTCTCACTGTGTTGTCCGGGCTAGAGTGAGTGCCATGGCATCAGCCTAGCTCACAGCAACCTCAAACTCCTGGGCTCAAGCGATCCTCCTGCCTCAGCCTCCCGAGTAGCTGGGACTACAGGCATGTGCCACCATGCCCGGCTAATTTTTTTTTCCTATATATTTTTAGTTGTCCAATTAATTTTTTTGTATTTTTAGTAGAGATGGGGTCTCGCTCTTGCTCAGGCTGGTTTCGAACTCCTGAGCTCAAACAATCCACCCACGTCGGCCTCCCAGAGTGCTAGGATTACAGGCGTGAGCCACCGCGCCCGGCCTCTGCTGTCTTTAAATTCCAGAAAGAAAAGTTGATTCTAGTTAACAAAAACCAGCTGTGCCATTATAAAAGCCTTGCCAGGTTGGCAACAATTGACGAAAAGATATGCAGTCTCTGCCTCTGTATTAGTGAGGACAGAGCCATGAAAACATTCACCGCCACATCCCTAGTGTCTTCATTGAGACTATTTTGTTGATGCATTGCTGTTTAATGGTAGAAAAAGGAATTCAGTGAAACGTGTCTTGTTTGTCAAAGTGTCACCATAGTCAGGGTCAGACACTGCAAGGTAGGGTGGGCCACAGCTCTTGACCACACTTTTGGGCTATCACATGTCTGAAGGATGACCAGTATGGTGGCGGGGGGTCTGCCCTCTGTGATCTCTGGAACAAATTCAGTTTTGCTGCTTTCCAAGTGTCAGAGCAAAGGGTGGTCCTGAGCATGAGCTCCGTGGTCTGGAAGCATCTCTCCCTGTGAGGGAGATGCCTCGCCCAAAGAATGCCTCTCTCCACAGGCCATTCCCATTGGCGAGTCATTTTTGGGTATCATCCCCAGCAGGTGTCTAGGCTGAATCTGTTTGTGCTGACACATCCTGTTTGTCCCCACCATGCTCCTTCTACCCCTGTCTCCTCCCTAGTGAGGGTTGCCTGGGTCTTGGCCGGTGCTGGAACCCGACTTGCAGCCCCTCGGCATCCCTGTGCTACCTGGAGGTGTGGACTTCAGATTTTCCCCTTTTCTCTTCCCCCATATCCAATCCTTTTCATTCCTGTCTTTTCTAAGTTCTGACCGCACTGTTCTCTCTTGACTCTCTGCTGTTTGCGTGGACTCTGATTCCTCGGTAGTTCCCAGGTGTTCGGCTGACCCCGGGGCTGAGAGAATCACCTGGAGAAGGTGCAGAGCTCCCAGCCCTGAAGGATGTGCTGCTGGGCTCATTTCAGATGACAGAGACTGACATCTGCTCGTTTGGGACACGTCCACCTCCTCATGGCTGGACTTTCAGGGACTTAGTAGACTGCCTAGTGGTGGCTAATATTAATTTTTATTATTGTGCCTCATGTTTGGATAGAAGCAGTGAAGTGTGTAAACACCTATTATGCATTTAATGAAGGTAATAACCTATTTTGGTGATTTTTACAGATTTAATATCTGACACTACTCTGTATTAATATGTCTAGCCTTTAAGTAGAAAACTTGCAGAACAATTAATTGGCTTTACTTGAGGAGAAAAATGAAATCAGCAGAGGCAGAGTATACAATTTCCCTCCTCCCCCATCAGATCTCTAATATGATATGGACCATCAGGATGTCAGTCATGAGTACAGTGAACCGGAAACAGACTCTGGTGGATAATCCTAATGGTGAGAAACTTAGAAACAGAGGCCTTCCTCGGAGATGGGGTCACCAAAGGGGGTGTTTAGCTCCAAAAGAAAAAGCAAGAAGAATTGTTCTGATCCAGAGAGGAAACTCACCAGAAACCTTTCCATCCTTGAGATGCTAACAGTGTGGTAGGTGGAAAGGCATTGTTACCTTCAGTTATAAACAGCAGCATTGCTTACTTGAAAAAGAAAATCAACAGGCAGGCTGAGTGCGGTGGCTCATGCCTGTAATATTAGCACTCTGGCAGGATGCAGGAGGACTGCTTGAGCTCAGGCATTGGAGACCAGCCTGAGCAGGAGCGAGACCCCATCTCTACTAAAAATAGAAAAATTAGCCAGGCATGGTGGCACACACCTGTAGTTCCAGCTACTTGGGAGGCTGAGGCAGGAGGATAGCTTGAGCCCAGGAGTTTGAGGTTGCTGTGAGCTGGGCTGACACTACAGCACTCCAGCACCTGGGCAACAGAGTGAGACTCTGTCTCAAAAAAAAAAGATCAACAGACGGTTGTTTGCAGAAAAATGGATCTAAATCAATTGATAACAAATAAAAAGCATTTTATTACTTTTATTTAGGTCTTTATTTTCCTTTGCTCTTTATTTGTATATTGTTTGCTTAAGAAACTCAACATTATTCAAATATTTATTTCAAATGGTTTCAAATATTCATTTGTAAGTTATGGAGCAATATCTGATAGAATTAATGAAAGAAACCAAGAAAGACGACTGAATTCTCAGATCAATCTTAAAAGCTAGTGTAACCAGTATTAACCATCG